CTATGGATGTAGATAGATTTGCTACGGATGTTGCTAGATTTGCTACGGATGTTGCTAGAGTTGGTATGGATGTTGATAGATTTGCTACGGATGTTGCTAGATTTGCTACGGATGTTGCTAGAGTTGGTATGGATGTTGATAGATTTGCTACGGATGTTGCTAGATTTGCTACGGATGTTGCTAGAGTTGGTATGGATGTTGATAGATTTGCTACGGATGTTGCTAGATTTGCTACGGATGTTGCTAGAGTTGGTATGGGTGTTGATAGATTTGCTGCGGATGTTGCTAGATTTGCTACGGATGTTGCTAGAGTTGCTATGGATGTTGATAGATTTGCTGCGGATGTTGCTAGATTTGCTACGAATGTTGCTAGAGTTGCTATGGATGTTGCTAGATTTGCTACGGATGTTGCTAGATTTGCTACGGATGTTTTGGTTGTTACCTGTTGTCACGCAGCTTCTCGACCTCCCTGTCCTTTTCTAGGTCAGCTTTCCTCACAGCTTCCTGCCAGATGGTCTTGTTGGTCTCCAGACAGCCAACCATCACCCCAGACAGACGTGTAGGCAGAAATTGCTGCCACAATTTAAACAGTGGGCCTACCACAAACTCCATGAAACCTACATTCAAGACATAATGCATTATAGGATTATACAGGCGACTCGTGCTAGTATCTGCCCCCTCTATAGATAAATAATGACGTCATTAAACTCTATGAAGCAATTGAATCATAATCACCAGCTTGAATCTTTGGTACAGGTGTGCTCATCCTATCACAGAGTGGGGTCACTGGTATTCCAATCTTCTTCTCTAAATCACCTGTAAAAAACAGTAACAAATGTAAGGAAATTGCACAAATTGAACTAATTCATAGACTACATACCTTATGAACTAAGAGTGCTACATGATGTTTTTAACGTGATACACTAACATTCTCATATAAGTATCAGATGCATGCACCTCACCTTGTCTATAGAACTCTTCAGATGCTCTCTCACTCCACCTGTTGCTGATCTCCCATGGCCGACATGGATTGGAGATATCCGCGCACTTCAGTGTTATCTGCAATGAGGTAATTTTCTATCACATTGGTATACGAGAAAATCGATCAAAACACGCACGCACGCATGACGTATACCTGAAACAACACTGCATGACCGTTAAACATTATGGAGGGGAAAGGGGTTCATTCCTAGTTTCCCAGGCAAGAAAAATGTGCCATTTCCCAGTCTACAGTGATCAGTTCCCAGTTAATTCAAATCACAATTTGGCTTTGCCGCGTCTCGGTTGACTTCTATTCCTGAAGCGGGAAAAACTTATCCTGCGTCACGAAAATAACCACTTGCTCCCGTTAGAGAGAATGGTTTCATTTGATTCGCCCATGCGACGCACCAAGCAGATGCAGTCCACTTGTTGTTTTTAAACTACAAGCAGAATGACTGCATTTCAAGGGCACTGTTACATGCCCAATGTGATCACAGGTGAAAGCACGCCTCTAATCGTTGCATGGCCATGATATGACTGCAGGAGAATTCCTTTGCAATCACGACGTACCCCAGATACAACATGTACAAGGCGAAGACTTACATTGCGAGATCTGCAGGCAAGTGCCTTTCTAGTTATGACTCGCCCGTGATAGGACTGCAGGTGGAGATGGCCCACTCACCTCACTGACACCAATGTTAACACGACAGGACAGTGAGGACACAGGCGCGTGTACAGGGGGGGGGGTCTAGGGGGTCCCCCCCCCTGCTCGCGCAGAAAACGCATCTAAAGGGGTCTAATTTCAAAAAATTTTGAACCCCAGACCCCCCCTTCGCGTGCTCGCAAGTTTGGGTTACGGTTAGACCCCCCCCCCTGGTACAAATCCTGTACACGCCCCTGGGACACTGGCAAAATTTCAGATCAGCTGGCTAGACTTTTAGTGAAGATCACCCCGAACAGCACCAAGTGGGAGCAGTAGCTATAACATCATCAGTGATCACCCATCCGTCACGACTTTCCAGTGATCGCCTACACACGTTATTGTTCAGTGACTGTTGTTTACAGGAAGCATATTGCGTGTCTCACCTGCAGAATGAAGTGCCTTTGTTCGCTAACACGCAGGTCGTGTAAGTCGCCTCTGTCAGTGTGCTTCTGTAGACAGCAAACATGCGAGCAGTGAGATAGATGAACCAAGTTATTAAACAACCTATTAATCGCCTTCGTTCTCGCTCTCGCACTAACAATGGCATTCAAATGTCAACATCTGCATTAATAGCACAAGTATTTTATAAAGGTCATACGTGGGCATAAATGTAATAGCACACAAGCTGTGTGGGTGGGTGGTAATAGAAGTAAAACATTGTAGAAAATTTTCCAAAATGGCAAAATCACTTTGCTATTTTACATAAGCCTCGTATAGCATGACCTTTAACTTGCTACCGGACTTAACCTTCCAACAGCACAGCCGCCCACTGAACTACATTGAGGCGCATCACGGTGCCTTGCAGTGCATCCATTAATTAAGAATGGCACATGTCGTCAGGAGTTAACCTCGTTAGCGAACTCGTCGACGTTAGGAACGCGTGCGCCCCCGGCCTCACCTTGAATCTGGTGAGGAACTCCTGCTGCCGCGTGATGTCGGTTGCGAGGATGAGGATGCGGATGAGATAGCGTAGCTCTTCCCAGTCGTCACGGCCCAGATGGTCCAGCAGACAACACTCGTGCAGAATGCTGATGCACTTGCGCCAGTGGTGGTTCTCCAGCACCGAGGAATTCTGCAATTGCACCCAGATGCGCGAGGCAATTCTTAATTCACATCAAATATTTATTTTTTCGCATGTGAAAATATTCATTTCGCATTCAAAGCGGGCAGAAAAATAAGTCAACGCGATGGTACGGGGAAAAATTTTATATAGCGTATATAATTAGGCAGTGCCGATCGAGTGTGGTAGTACATATATATAGTTGTACATACCTCTACAGCGTGCAGAGCGGCTGTATTTAACCCCATATTGGTGCTGAGGTAGTTTACAGTGCTAACAGATGGGCACAGCAAACAAGTTTACTGACTATATGTAATAGGTATGCCAAGTCCACTGTTTGCACATGCACACTAAAAACATTTTCACTGACCTTGTCATATGACTGCAGCTTGCTATATTCTAACCGTATACAGAGCTGCCAGGTGGTTACAGACGTGGCTATGACTGCAGCTTGCTAGCGTGCTACTCCAACCGTATACAGAGCTTCCACGCAGTTACAGACGTGGCTATAACTGCAGTTTGCTATGCTCACCTTATATAGAGCTGCCAGGTGGTTAGACGTGGCTATGAGGAACGCTTGGTTGACTCCTGGATGGTCGAGATCATGTCCTACAGCCGCCAGTAGCGCAGCCATTAATTCTACGGGACTCATCGACCTACGTAACTACAATAAGAAAATTCAGGGATAATTGCTGATAAACTGATTAAAAGACTACGTCATGAAAACCCGCCGCAGTAATCAGATATTAAAACACGAAACATTCTGCTGAACTATAGTGGCAACACAATGACTATATTGACAGAATTGCTCGTTATATAAAATATATCTAATGGAGCAAAACGTGCATGACTAAAAGGTTTTCCTGATTTTTTCCTAGATGTCTGAATTCTGGAAACAACGACGTTAAGCACGTTTCACATGCTAATCTATTATTTCAAGGAAAAACTGCATAAAGCCTCCTCAACGACATCACTACTCCCTATAATGCTCACTGTATCTTTCAGTAAGTGGGATGCATCAACTATACTTACGATTCTTGCTGATTAATGCTGGTTATAATTTCTTATGTCGACAAACGAGTATTATACTGTAAACCACTTACAAGATCTTGAATGATGACTCTGCGTACCAGCATTTAATGCTACTCAACAAAGCTGGCTCAGCACATTTCATATCAATGTCAAGAGAATAAATAGACTCAGTGAATAAATAAGAGCAAAATTATATTATTTTAAATGGGAAAAATAACAGAGCTGAAGTAGAAGAACAGAAGAATACACTATAGATACACTATTTATCAACATGCTACAAAATAAATTAAAATAATAAATCCAATTGCGCCACTCTAAATAAAAAATCATCGAATCTCACAATCCTGAATAAAAATGGGAATTACAAGATGATTGTTGACAGTATACGGAAGTTACCTTTTTCTCCTGCAGGTAGCAGTGCATTGCCTGTGTTACGTCTGCCGCGTGGGTTGCATTGTGATATGGGTTGTTGCTATGGTAACCTTCGGCAATCAATGCTGCAAGCAATTAAAAAAAGATGAAGATGGGTTACAGAGGGGTGCCAGATGTGGCGCATTCATCTTTGATCTTTGAAATTACCTAATTGAGGGTACAATAATTCCCCCTATCTCTTGTACTCTTCTTGCACTGTTTCATCTACCCATTTTCTCTCATGCTCGCTCGCTCTCTCTCTCTCTCTCTCTCTCTCTCTCTCTC